TGCTACTTTAAACATTACAACAAAATTCAGGATGCTTTAAATAATCTGAAGATTCCTGGAGACACTGACTTGCCTTCATTTCTATAAGTTTTTACCAAAATGCAGTCTTTCAACACCAATGTTTTATGTCAGCTTTTTATCAACACTTCAGGCTAACTTACTTGGACAATGGCAGGATCTTGTGGCAGAGTATGCTGAGCTTTTGGAGGTTCACAGACAGTGATGTCTTTGATGTCACTTCCTCGAAAAATAATGTACTCATAGATTTCTTCTCTGGGAGGAGCAGGTCTGTCTGTGGGCCGGTCCTCAGTCCCGAAGGATCGCACTGTAGCATGGAAATCGTGACATTAGTGCAGTGCTGCCATTGCAGCGTTGTGCAAGTTCAGATTTATGCAATTAAAAAGTACTCCTCCAACACTTGCCATTTGTAACAACAACAACAGCTACTTCCAGAACCCTCAATCTCTTTCTCACACACATCTGTTCCCTCAAATGCCAACTTATTCAGCAGCCTGTATAAACAGTTTTGTTTACATCAAGCTGTGAAGGTAAAGACCATAGACCAGCTGGAGTGAAGAATCCTACTCCAAACCCAAGGACTTCCCCACAGTGTTGCACTCGCCTTCCCTCCCCAGCAGCTGTCCCATGCAGGCATTCAGCTCCAGACAACTGCACCAGACCACAGGAGAGGCCCCTGAAGCAGCAGGGGGAAATCTTAGAAGGCTTTAGAGCTCAAATCTGCACCTTTGGTTTCATATATTTACTATGCAGATAGAGGTAGTTTTATCAATGATAAAAACTTCCTATTAAAATTCCCTCTCTACTCCAATGTCACTGTTTTTATGATTTATGTGACTACAAAGCAAGCCATCAGTGATAAATCTAAGATCTCAGTGCTTAGGGAGGCTTTACTGAGTGCCAAGTACCAGAATACTTGAACAGACACTAACCAGCAGTGTTACACATTAGAGTGGGGAAAAAAAAAATAATTCAGCTGACTGTGGCAGCTACTAGGTAGAAGCATAAATTAATTTGAGCCATTAAGAAAGAAGAGGTCAGACTGGATTATTGGCTCAGGAAGACAGATAGCACAGTTACATCAGACACTGACAGGTAAAAGCTTGAAATTTCAGGCACAAGTTATAGAAACTCCCAAGTTCACTGGTGTGGCTGCTTTCTGTCTTTGAGAGGCACTCCCAGTTCAGATGAGTACCAGCACACAGTGGCTAGATCCACACTTTCTGCCAGTGGAAGAATTCTGTATTGGAGTTTCCTCAATTGCTTCCAACAGATTATCACAGAAGTACTGAAACACCTTCACCAGGGACATGCCACTGTTCCTGTCACATGGATAATGTGGGCAACACATCCTCCCAGGAAAAAGAGCACCAAAAGTGGCTGCACTGAACCCCAGTGCGAAGCATCCCTGGCACATCATGCTGCTTCAGCTTAGGAGGACTGTTGGCAGTTGTAACCAGGGATACTCAAGAATCCTGTCCCAGGGTGAACAGCTATGATGAAGAGATAGGCAGGTGATTTACCCCACACCAGGTAGCACTCAATGCTGCAAATGGTCTCCACCCCTGTTAACAAACAGGTGAGCTCCCAAGGAGCAGGTGAATGCCAGAATGTCCCTATCACAATGCTCAACACGTCAGATCGCACCTAACAGGAAGGGGATCTTCACTGGTACAAGAACAAGCTGCCAGTCACTGCCTTTCAATGGCCATCTTCCATGAGTTCCTAGGGTAAATAACCTCTCCAAGTTATTTTAGATCTCCAGCTGCTGTTTGATCATATTACAGCTGTAACCCAGTCAACCAGAAGCAGATTATAAACTGAAAGCAATGCTTGTAGCCTTTTGGACATGAACTGTACTACTGATCTCTCTGTTCAAAATGAGATTATTACAGCTCACGGCAAGATGTACTAAAGGTATCCAGGGGCTCCTGCAGGATCCTACAGCTGACTTGGAAAGCACCATGATCAGCCCATCAACTTCCACATGGACAAACACATGACCAGCAAAGCCCAGAGCTGCCCAGGCAGCCTCTCAGTTGGCCAGTCCCAAGGTTTCTAACAAAAAAGGTGGAAAGCCAAGTCCTTGTTGTAGACAAAACAGGGCTGTAGGAGTTGAGCTTCCCTGTCCCTGCACCTGAGGTGTTTAACTGTTTCTGGCACAACATAAAGTGCAGTTTAAAGTTCCTGTGGAGGTGGGAAGGGCTGTCTCCCATGAAGTTACTGACTATTGCTTACAGATGAACAAGAAATCAATCCCGCAACACTGCAGCTCCTGGTTTACAGCAGTTCCTACTTGTGTAGGGCTGTTGAGCTTAAGTTCTGAAGGGGCAGGAGGCACAGCAAGTGACTGGAAAGCAGAGCTTCGGTGAATATTTCTTGTTCAAAAACTCCAATTTCTTCAGACTTCTGTTTAAGGGGGATTAAGTTCCTGGCCTTCACTGCTGACAGCATTGCAGTGGGCTTAAATTTCCTTTGTTTGCAATTTAAGTTTAGCTTCTAACAAGACAAACAACTTTCTTGTAGTGATTAATTAAGCACACGGAATCTCCAGCATTTAAGATTGTGTGCACATATTGAGGTTTAACAAATACAAATCAGTTGAAGTCATCCTGGCTTCAAGAGGCTGAACCAGATTTCTTCCTGAGGCCTCTTTCAACTTAAATTTTTCTTTATGAATGATAGAACAAAAGGGAATGGCACTTGCACTGCACATGGAAGCATTTAAACCATAGCATCCAGGGTTAAACAACAATTTACCTGTAGTCTGGACAACTTCAGCAGCATGTCAGGAATTCATGGCCCTTCTAATGCCTCAGAGATCAAGTGTTTTAAACTACTGACACCACACACAGGGTTGATACTGCTGTGACTAACTTTGACATCATTGCTACATTTGTAATTCTGACACTAATTTTGCTCTGCTATAAAGTCTCTAAATTTGAAAAACCCCTGTGAGCTACAATGAACAGGAGGGTTTGTGATGTAAAGTTTACACAGCAACCCTTTAGCTGGGGAAAGATGCATTCTCCACCTACTGCAACAACTGCTTCTTATACATTCCAGTTCATCAAAACGGAACACTGAGAGACCAATAAATACGAGAACTGCCAGAAATCTTATCCAGAGCATGTACTTATTCACATCATCAAGCACTTTAATCACACATGCTTTTGAAATACCACTTCAGCTCTGAAGCAGCAAGTGCTATGTGTAAGGCAGAACCATTTCTACTTGCTGCTGGATCAAGGTGAAGACCTTCCTGCACCTACAGAAAAGGAACTGCATCCTTTCAGCAACCTCTCAAGTACTTTAAGCCATGCACTAATACAAACAGCTCCATTTGGGCATTTAAATAAACAACTGTACTCCTAGAGAAAAAGTGAATTTGAGAAAACTCGCACTTTTAACTCCAGAAAATAATCTAATGGGCACCAAATAATGTGCAGCATCATATAAACATCATTACACTGGGTAAACACTGGGGTATAGGCTGCCTTGAAGGTAGTTGTGAATCTGGCAAGTCAGTGCCTCCCGCCAGCAAACAGCCTTTCAAAACAAAAGGTGTTTGTTTTGTGGACAGCCCCGATGGCTGCCTGCAGGCAATGAAGAACGTGTGAACTTCTCAGAACAAGGAAGGACAAAACTCAGGGAAAGAAAACGCCGATGCACATTAGCTGAAGTAGCCAAGCTGGACTTAAAAAGCAGTTCAGGAATAAGTTCATGTTTGAGGGACTAAACAAGACAGAACAAATTTTACTGAGATGAAATACAGGAGTTTCCAACACAGGTGATAAATGACCTGTGAACCTAAATGACATTGTTTCAAAGATAATGATCAGTATTTCCACAGGGAAACAAAATGCAAAGCCTTGCTGAGGAGCCAGCAAGGTCGGCGAGCCAGATCCACGTGCAGGTGCCCCACAGCGCTCTGTGCAGCGGCTCCCACCCTCCTCACCTGAGCAGAGTCCAGTTATCGATCACGGAAGGAACAAAGACACAACAACAGCAACTGTTTTCCCCAGCGCCGGCCTGGGGCCCTGCTCGAGCCGAACACCGACACACAGCCGGGCACAACCGAGCGAGGGGAACCGAACCACGCACAGCGATGCCGAGCGTCACCTCCCCGCCTCTGACAATGGCGAGGGGAGCCAGCGCTGGTGGCAGCGCTTCTCCCTGGGAGAGCCAAGGGCTGCTCAGCATCCCGGCCCCTCCGGCGCGGCCCCTGTCAGTGCTGACTCACGGAGAGCAGCGGCGCTCCGGACCCGGGGCTCCAGCCCCGCCGCAGCCCCGCGGGGCGGGCGGGCCCCGGGCGCGCTCA